TGAAAATGTGAGAAAGAGGGTTGAGTTTGAGGTGGAGCAACCTGGGGGTGGTTCTAACCTATCTGCAAATGTGCAATTCATTTTAGTAGAAATCCTGTTTTGATAAATAGATCTAAGCATGTTGATGTTAGATTTCATTTTTTTGGGAGATGTTTGTTCACAAGGTGTTGTGAAACTTGAAAAGGTGTCTACTAATGTTAACCTTGCTGATGTAGGTACTGAGGTACTACCCTTAAACAAGTTCCTTGATTGCTTAACCTTGCTAAATGTTGCACTTGCTGCTGATTTGTGGATGTTGCAGTTCTGTGCTGATGATATCTGTGTTTTGAGTAACCACTGATGTTTGAATCATTGTGCCAAGGTGGAGTATGAAGGGAAAATGGCACAAGGATGCTAATACCCAATGGGATAAATGAGTCAGCCCAGCTGGAAATCTTTGGAGGCCCAGTTACTTGTTTATTCTGTTTGGTGCTAGAAAACGTGTACTTTGAAGATGAAATCGCATTTCTCACTTACCTGATGAAATGAACGCCAATGGAGTCACCATGTGTCACCTCCAACACCGTGGATTGGCGACTGTTGTGTGACCCGTTTAAATGGGCTTCTAGGGTTTGAGAGACTCACTTCTTGCTTCGAGAGTCTTACATTTTTCTCTCATCACTGCGCCGTTCTCTCGAGTTTCTCTCTTCTTCACTTGAGAAATCAAATAATCTCATTTGAATTTTGATTCTTTTCTCAATAGCTGTAATCTTGAGTGATTTACTTGTATTGGGTGTTGGTTCTTGTGTGAACAAGGTTGTTAGTGAAGAGAGTTCTCATTTATGATATCAAAGGGCTTATCTGAGTGCTAATCTCTTTTTGTAATCTTCCTGTGGGTTTGATTTGTACAATAAAAGTGGTTATACTTGTGTGATTGAAACACAGTTGGATGAACTTTGGCCTGTGGGTCTTATGAATAAAGATACGTGTTATTTTTTAGTTTATTGAGTTAATCTTTTCAGTTCATTTAGTTTCTGATTTTCGCATTTATATTTGTTGATTTCTTGTGAGCTAATGTTGTGAACTCCTCCCAACAAACTCATAACGGCTAAGTTTTATGGAAGAAAATCAATAAATTGATAGATCTGCATTGATTATTTTAAGTTCAAATCTGCACATACATTGAGTAATATATAACAAGTAATATTTTGTGCAATTTAAAACATAGATATGTAATTTAACCCCCAAGAGTGTTCGCATGCGTTGATTAACTATCCGATGAATTCTATTCAAATTAAATTTAATTAACTTTAATCTCGTACAGAAATGAGGATAATGGAAAGGCTCAACCTTGGAGATCGAGAGAACCATGGGAGATGATAGCCGGAGGCTGAACTTGATCGGTCCCAACGGAGGCGGAGTTCTTTGGCTTGTTAAATGACGTCATTTTATTTTCTTTTGACTTTCCGATGCCCCTTCCGGCGCCCGTCTTCTTCTTTTGCCTGTAGAAACCCTTCATGTCTGAAGCCGACGCCATTTTTTTATTTTTTATTTTTCCTTTCTCTCTGCTTTCAAATTTTGAATCTTTTTTTTTTCTCTCCTTCCGAAGGAAGAGTCCCAAGTCGGAGTTTGAACCGGAACAAAATTGAGAATTTTGCCCAATAAGCCAGCCCAGAGCTATCAACATTTGAATAGGGAACCCAATGTGTTACAGCCATTGTTTTTTTAGTTTTTTTGAGAATCATTTCTCCATCACACTCATTTTTAAATTTTTAATTACTCATTTTTACAAAAAAAAAAAATATTTTTCATAATTTTTAATTGACATTCACAAAAAAAGCACATTTCAAATGCTCACTTTATCAAATAAGCGTTTACTTCAAACAATTTTTTATTTACAAAATTTTGTTTTTTAATCATTTTTTTTTCTTATATTAAATTTTACATGTCGCATATTTCCACCATTATTGTGACTGTCGACACAATCACCACTATCGTCACAAGCCCACTACTTATAACATTTATTGTTACACCGTCGCTTCCACCGCACGTCATAAACAATGTTACACCATCATCATACATCGTCCCCACCAATGCTTATATCATTCAATGTTACAATGCATCCATTATCGAACCGACATCACCCCCATTGTCTTTTATCGTAATAGATGTATCGCAATCACAATTACCATTAGATTAACAACTAGATCATTGTCACCACCACCACTAAGAAATGAGAAAGTCGCCATCTCGCCCCTACATCCACCATAAACCACCACCATCAACATTTAATGCAACACCATCCCACCATTGCATCACCATCTAGTTAAATTCTCATACACCGATACAAAAATCAAATTTGAAAATAAATTTCAAAATTTTTTAGAAAAAATAGAGAGAGTGGAAGATTTAAATCTGGTTTCTTAACTTAAACCAAATGAAACCGGATCTAATTTCATTTCTGAAATAGAATTAGCTTAGCCGATGGGTATGTGTGGTCTTGGATTAGATATTTGGGTGGTGATTGATGCTTGGTGGTTATCGATGGTGACTCTTGTGTGGTGGTAGTGGAGATGGTTTACGAAGTGATGGAGGAGAAGGTGGTGGTAGTTGGGGGGCAGGGGGGGCGAAATTTTCATTTCCAACAGATGGTACGTAGTTCAGATTAGATATTTGAATGATGGTGTTGCATTATGGTGATCAATGAAGTCCGGTGCATGGTACTGAAAATCGTTTAGGGATGGGGAGGGAGGAGGTAGTTGATAGTGCCAACTGAACAATTGTAGTAGTGGTGATTAAATATGTGAATTAATTTAATTACATATTTTATAGGACCTACAACTTTTTAATTACATATTTCATTAACTTATATCAAAATCTACTAAAAATCTAATTTTAATTTTCACCAAAACTCCTCATCATCTTTAGTTCTAAATTCTTTTGCATCTAGAGCTCCTAGCACCATCTCTTGATTTATTTTTTTCACATTTATTTCTAATGATTTTAATTTCTTTGTATAATTAATTTAATAATATCGAGTTTAGTGTAATCCTTTCTATCAATCAAAGTGTACACACCGATTGATATAAAAATTTATGTCATGTATTTTACATTGTCAAAGAATTTCTCTCTAGATCCCAAATAATTCACCATTTAAATTGCATATATTCGACCAAAACTTTGATAGCTCCCATTTGATTTAGTTAAAAATCTATATTTTGATAAAAAAAAAAAAAAAACGATGGATTGTGTGGTTGAAAAGTTGGGATCCCATGAAATGTGAAATTAAAATTAATTGTTGACTTTGGCTTAGATTTTAATTAATTTTTTTTAGTTGAATCAAACATGGAGCTATAATGTTATATCAAATAATGACATTATATTTAACATTATGGGGGTGTTTGAGCCACATTGTTTATGAAAAATATATTTTGGAATAGTAAATTAATGGAGAATGTATGATTAAAAAAGAAGAAATTTTTATTTATTTATGTGTAATATTATTTTAATGAAAAATATGTGGTTAAAAATAAGAGAAAAAATACATTTTGAAAAAAAATGATAATCAAACAAATAATAAAATATACGAAAAGAATTAGGAAAAATATAAAATCCTACAAATAGAGATCCAAATCAAGGAGATGATTTCCCTTGGGCTCCATTTTATTTAAATTGCAGTTTCTCTATTATTTTCAACAACATGTTCTTTAATAAAATAATATTACGTGTAAATCAAAAAAATTTCCTTCTTTTCTAATCACATATTTTTCAAAAAATCACTAAAAATATTTTTTTTTTTCCCAAAATTTGATTTTAATGGATCCCAAACATTATTAGTTGATTTCATTTTATTGTAAAAAAGTAGAAGGAAAAAAAAACAGCTGGATAATGGGTACCAGGTGGCCGTTACACACTCAAAACTTTTCACAACGGTCATATTTCTTCTCAAAATCAGACCGTTTCAGCTTCTTTTATATATATACCTTCTCCTCTTCCTCTCTAAACAACATAAAATCTCCTCATTTCTTTCAATTTCTTTCTCCAAGAAGATAAAATCAAATCCCAGTTGCGAAAAATCCTCAAAAACTTCAAAAATCTTGCTCAAACTTTGTTCATAGAAAAATGGGTTTGTCCATTGACTCCTCCAATGAATCCCATCCTCGCACTCACAAGGTGTTCATATTAAGCAACTATCTTCTTTTAGGTGCAGCTTCCAGTTGCATTTTCTTGACTCTCTCTCTACGTCTCATCCCATCGCTTTGCGGGTTTTTCTTGATCCTCCTCCACATCATCACCATTGGAGGTGCCATTTCCGGCTGCGCTGCAGCCAATGCTGCCAGGGGTGCCACCAAGTGGTATGGAGCTCACATGGTGGCCACCGTCCTTACAGCGATATTTCAGGGATCTGTGTCGGTGCTGATCTTCACGAGGCCCTCGGATTTTCTTGGAAATCTTAAGTCCTATGTGAGGCAAGAGGATGGTGTGGTGATCTTGAAATTGGCTGGTGGATTGTGCATTCTGATTTTCTTCCTAGAATGGGTGGTTTTGACTCTTGCATTCTTCTTGAAATACTATGCTTATGTTGAGAGAGGGAATCCTCAGGCTGTGAGGAGTGCAAAGGTTCAAAATGAGGAGGATTTAAAATACTTGCCATATCCTTTTCAAGTCTAATTTTAATCAAATTTTGGTGAAATTTGTTTGATTTGCTTTAATCCCATATTCTTTTGATTTGTTATTTTGTTCTTTAATTTGATGGGATTTGTTGTGTAATACTGTACCGTTCAAATGAAATATTTAATTGATTTCTTGTTTTGCCATATTGCTTTGCTGATTATGCACTTTTTCTGAGAGTGGATGCATTTTCTATTTTCTGAGTATTCAAAGCTTGATTTCTCTAAAAAAACTGCTGCATATTCCTATTTTCGTAACCAAGTATTACAATCTTTTCTTTGATTGGCACAAGACCACGAGGTATTAATCAAAAAAGCAAGAGTAAGGCCCTGCCCATAATTAGCTCTATGCTATGAAATTTGAAATTTCATTGAATAATTCAGAAATGGTTTTAAGGGTTTATTTTGTTGGGCCAATGGAAACAGTGGATCTGTACTTGGAGGCTGTTAATGACGTTTGGATCCATTTCAAACACAATATTAGAATTAAACCTCCATGGTTCAACTCCTCAATGAAATTACCTATAAAGGGGAGGGAGATCCACAAATTATGTCCACTATGCTCGTACTCATGGCTGCAGGGAAAATAGTCTCAGAAACCACAATTCAAGCTGATATGATCTCCAACTTACCCAGCTGATGTGATTAAGCTAAACGCAGGATGGCTTCTTAAAAGGTCCAGGAACCACAAAGGAGAATGTGGGTCTCTAGAAGCAGAACCCGTCACTGGACAAGTTTGGGTAGAGATTGACACATTGACTACTACTATCCAACTAATAGGAAGGAAAGCAGGAAACAAAGCTGCTTATAGATTCGAAGCTTAATCTACACTTGCAAGATGTAAATGGGGAACTAAAGGGAATTTTGCAAAAAGATTCATGGGAAATGTAATATTTCAAACCTGTAATACTTGTAATACGCACTAGACTATTAACAGTATCATTGAGCTTTCAAAACTGAAACAGAATGCTTATTTAGGCCAACAGAAATTGAGCACTACAATTGAGCACTACATAATCATACTGCCATCAAACTTGCAACATTTTATACAGAATACCATTTGCTAAAACTTGAAGATCAGCCATATTTGTTAACCACACACATCACAGGCCAAAAAGAGACAGAAACCCCATAGGATTATTGATTCTCGATAGTGCTATCCTGCTGTTGTTGTCTGGCAGCTGCAGCTTTGTAGGATGATTGTGGGGAAGTTTCAATCAGGTTACTAGTCTTTCCAGATGGAGGCAGACATCTTTTCGAGAAAAATTTCGCAATGCTCTTTGTTTTCCCACAACTCTTTTCTGCAAATGCACATGAGAAATCACTCTCATCATATATCAATGTACATCAAGTGGTTCTCGCTGATTGCAGAAATAATTACATGTCAAGTTACAACGGTAATACTATACCTGGTGATACAGACAGACCAAGCTCAGCCAGAATTTTTTTCTTAACCTGCCTCGCAAGGAAAGAATTAAAATCAGTAATTTTCTGCTTTAATCTCGGCAATCAATCATTTTTTAAAGAAACCGCAGACTCATACCACATTCAAATAATTCACTAAAAATACTAGATTAAACAGCTTGCTTAGCCTAGAGATAATATGAAATTTACAACCTTGAATAGGCCTTTTGTAACTAAACATGTGAATTTGCTGAGATGTGAGCAATAACAGAACTTCCTCCAAATATCTTAACTATCTCCCATGACAAAATGAAAAAAGTTTTCCTTTCAAACATGAAGATTCAATTCACAACCAGGAGATTTCCCACTCCAGCAAGGACTAAATTTTACCAGCTAGATGATGAAAACCATACAGAAAATGAATGAAAAGTTCTTTTTTAAATACGAAGATTCAATTCACAAACAGGAGAGTTCACATATATTGAAAAGGACTACATTTTACCCATTAGATGATGAAAGCCTTACAGAAAATCAACTTTAAGTTACCTGCCAACGATTATCAGAGAACTCTGATATTTCACGCACTTTGTTCCTTAACTGGGATTTTGGGACAGCCGGGAACTTATTTTGCAAGGACTCCAACACCTTGCCTATACTCTGTGAGCATGATTGGATTACAGATACCTACAAAATTTAGATAATTTCAAGTGTGAATTAAGCTAGTAATACTAAGTGGTGGTTTATTACATCATGAATATAAAACTAGGTTAGCCACAAGGTTCACACAAACAAACTGCTTATGTTGTGGTGTCTGTCTACTACACAATAAAATGAACTTACAATTTGAGGCAAGTCCGAGTTCAATATAGCTACAGCACTTGCCACTGGAGTCGTACTTGACTTACTACTTGAAGGGGAAGCTTCTTGATCCTCATGTACTGTGTCATTACAAATTGATATCTCTATTGGGGGGCAACCCGGGTAAGGAAGAATACTTAGAGATTGCAAGCACTTTTGTTCAAACTTCTGCGTATCGGTGAGCCCTTCAGCCGGTAACAGAATAGCCTTTTCATGCATAAGATTCAATATCATCAAGGGATGGTTTTTCCGAAGTGCGTGCTCTGTCAAATTATTCAGATACTTCTGTTGTCGAAGCAAGGTATAGAATTCTTCATTCTGCCCAACCAGTTCAGGATCAGGCAAGTTTCTTGTCTCCTCAACCAATTTATCAGATTCCATTTCATCATCCTGTACGCCCTACATGGCACAATGAAGACCAATAAACTTGCTGACCACAAATCGATATCTCCAAAAAACTGATAATAAAATAAATTAGCATTTTCAGCTATCTTTAGCAGAACATTCATTCTCAATAAAAAGCCCCAATAACGAAATAAAGAAATATGAAAAAGAAATAACTTGTGAACCTGCACATTCCAGAAGAAACACAGATAAATATATTTTTATACTCAAGATAAACTGAATTCAATTTATACGGCAATAAAAATCATAGTACCTCATTCTCTGAGAGATATCCATCAGGTACAAAAAAGCCATCTTCACTCTCATCTTCATCATCGCCTCTTGAATGTCCTTCTGCATTTTCATCTTCATCATCCTTGTCGCAATCTGATAGGCTTTCACCAGGCTCCGCCTATGCAATCAAATATTAGTTGCCAATCTTTTAATATTTAATCACTTGTACAGCAAAGCAGGCCTACCTCTTCCCACTCCCCATCACTATCAATTTCATAGTCTAAGTCTGGATCCTTTGCAAATGGGTGACGTGCTCCAACAACTGAACTGGAGAAGCAAAAACACAAGCAATCAAAGTTATGATAATATACTATTTCAAATTGGTGTGACATCACTTCTTGATGATCTTCTTGTACCTTTATAGGCACCATGTATAATTCAACTGCATATCATGCAGGGACCAAATTCTTTTTCAATGGTTTAAAACATACATGGATGAATAAACAGGACAACCACCTTGTACGCTGTACATAAGTACGGCTTCAAATATTGTACCAATAAACTTGTCAACAGATAGAGATAGCAATCTAAGTGATTCAACTGGTCTTCAACAAAATAACATTATCAAATTGCTTAGTAGGAGAACAAAAGGCCTTCTAAGTTAATATATAGTAACTGGTACAGCTCCAAGATAAAATGTCATGCCTTAGAGCTAGGCTATTCAATGTGGCAACCCTCTCGAGTACCAAATTACCAAATTACCAGTAAAATGCCGCGTGTTTAATTGCGCTAGAACAGTATAGATAGGCAGGACACATTATTCAACCATCAACTTTACACATTAAAACCAAGAATGTCCTACACTAACCAATAATAACAGTCATAATCTCCAAATTTCTAATTAAAATTCTATCCATGGATGCCTTCCATGTGCACAAAAAAGATATTACAAAATGATATACGAACAGATACCACAATGCACTTGCAAAACTATATTAATTAGAGTACAATAATATAACATGACAATTGCGCTTTCCTTTTCTTGGACCAAACACCATCAAAGGCAGGCCTATAACTCTTATCAAACTGTAATAATATAACATGACAATTGCGCTTACCTTTTCTTGGACCAAACACCATAAAAGGCAGGCCTATAACTCTTATCAAACTGTAAAAGCTGCCTATTCCTACAGCGCTTCTGGCCATTGGGAGGAATACTAACATTCGTACAAGATAATCGTCCATCAATATTAGAGTCATCCCATCCATCCACAAGCTTCTCTATGCTCAAGTCTTCATCACAGGTCGATTCTCTGTTAGTACTAAGCTTAAGTTCCTTGACCACTTCTGTCTTAGGCTTCTGACGAATTCCCCAATGCATTTTCCTGTTAGAACGAACTTTGCGTCCAAAACAACGCCAAGATCTCAAGTGTGATCTGCAAAAAGAGACCAAGATATTGTCTTATACAATATAAACTACTGAGCATTTTACAAGATATCCACAACAAATGGGAAAGGTAAGGAACCCACTTCCATATATCTTCTTCATCAAATTCTTCACCAAGGGTTAGAACAGAGTCCATAGCCACAGTAACTGGTCCTGACATCCTTGCTGCCTTTTCAGCTGTTTCCGCATTTCAGATTCTTCCTTCTCAAGGCGACACTCCTCCTTCTCGGCCTCATCTTTTAACAGCTTTAGTTCTTTTTCCTGAAAGGTTGTGGAACTTCAAATAAATGAACCAAGATAAAAGATAATCGCAAGCTTAAACCTGTAAAAATCTACATCATTCATATACAAGTTTAACTTAAACATAACAAGACATGAAAGCCAGCTCTTGAATGTTAGTGTGTAGAGACTCTAAAGCTACATTATTCGGATTCACAGTCTCCATTAATATATAACAAAATGGTTTTCCATTTAATAAAATCAAACGATAGTTTAATCATAAGGTCAAAATGTTATTCTATACAAACAATACTTGGAACATTTGCATAAAAAAATAAGATTTTTAAGTGTACAGCAGCCAAATAGAATGTACAAGATTTGAGTCAGGACTTACAGTTTGCAACTTTTCCTTATTAAGCTCCCGATCCATCCGTATCCTCTCTTTCTCCATCTGCCGTTTGTTTTTCTCCATTTGCCTGATTAAAAGCTTTTCTTCTCGCTTGACTTCTTTCTCGGACCTTCACCAATATAAATACTGATTGAGTCCATGACCAAAAACCAACAACAGGAAAAAACTATTCCTGGGATACATACACTTGAGCAGCATTTTTCTGGGACATGGTCTCCATCAATAAACGGACATCTGCTTCGGTTAAAACTTTGCTAAGCTTGTCTGCAGCTTTTATCAAATCTTGCCTGTAGCTCTGATGGCCCTCTGATTTTTCCAGTGCAGTTATCATTGCTGAAAGAGACTCAAATTGTCAAGTAAACCACTAAAATGATCACACTATTAAGATTGTTCCATTCGATGAAGTTTCAGAAATGGACAAACTAGAATAATTGTACAATTTATTCTAAAGAAAGAATAAGAGAAGTGCCAAGTAAATTATTTGCATAAAAATTATCACATAAACAACAATTATCAAAGGAGATATCTTCTAGCTTTACAAATTTTGGCCATTGTTTGAAGATCAAATGCTTGTATAAAGTAACTACAAGGCACTACACACCACAGGTTACTAGAATGAAATCAACATGAGTTCATGGACCTTGTGCTCATACAAACAGAAATCAATACACTATTTCAGCAACAATTTGAGGAGAATAACAGCACTTAAAAGTTAAATGGTCTTCAATCCCGATCAATGTTCATTGCATATCCTCAGTAACTAAACCATTCAGAAAGGTGGACATATAACGAGCTGTGAGGTTTTTTTCTATGACCATTATTTGAACCCAAACTCAAAACACTACAGCTGGACAAAACACAAAGCATGAGATACCAATGTTTACTAGTGCGCATCCCCACTGTAAAAGAAATAACAGTTTCACACATTAAACAACTATATCCCCTGGACAGAAACGAAAAAAAAAAACAGAGAGAAAACCTAATAAGCTATAATAGTAAGTTAAAAGAGACTCGCCCAAAAAAATTATAACAAGAAAACAATTGGAATAGTTGAAAAATAGGTTGAACCATCCAGCACTAAAATTTAACAGAATACGGTTTCAGCATGATGCAACTTGGCAGCTACCATGGGTTAATGACAACTGGACAGGGATATTAATATGGCCACAAATCCCTTGCATGTATCTGGCATTTCTCACCCCCAATAAAACAAATGCACTTATTTTAAGTAGCAAACTCACTAAGAAAACATGATATTTGGAAATGAATTATATCCTCTCAACAGCTTCCAGCATATCAATTAAATGGGTCAGAAATTTCAAGACTCTTTCCATTTCCACAATACACCTCCATGTAATTTCCTCAGTGGATGACAGACTGAGAAGAAAACTTCTGAAATCATTTTCAAAATCATTTTCGAAGATAAAAATGGCAAGGATCTCAAACAAACAAGCACCCATTTTACATCACACGTGCTTCAATTCTACCATATAGCTTCTTCATCAAGGTTTTCTTCAAAAACACCAGCAATTAACTACTACATTCGCTTTGTTCCAGTGATGGGATAAATTAACAAATTTCAGCTCCTGTACGGCCGTTCTTACAAAACTGACAAATCTTAAAATTTAATTGCACCAATAAATTCTCTTCAAGAGGAGGTAGTTCTACCATTATTTCGCCCCGTAAATTAAATTTCTATACACAAGATTCATCATATCCTTCTTTCCTTTGGGTCGTGGAACATCAAAAGTCTCCTGGAGACACTAATTAAAACATAGAACAATAAAAATGAGTCCTAATTTGATCTCTATCATGCACTTGCAGTGCATTTCCCTGCTTTGCCAGTTTTCCCATCTATATTAACCGTCTTATCCCCTGGAAATGAATAACTATTATTAAACTAGTCCACTTTAGCCTTGAACGACAAAAATATTTACAACACTAAGGGTTTGTTTGAGCCGCATTTTTTAGGTAAATAGATTTTGAAATATTGATTTAATTATTATTATTATTATTGAGAATGTGTGTTTAAAAAAGTACGAAAACATTTCAAGTTTACATACAAAAAAAATTATTGGGAAAATGTGCAATTGAAAAAGAGTATGGGAAAAAAATGAGTTTTTAAAGTATGGGGCTCAAACAGGGACTAAGTCCCAATTCTTTGGAAGATAAAGATAAATGACATAGTTGGCCCAAATACTTTGAAAAATATTTATTACATTAAGTCAAAATGATATGGAAGATGAATAGATATGATTAAATAGCATGTAAGCACAATGCTTCGAAACAATTGCAGATAAACAAATCCCTGTTTAAAAGCATGAACATTTATTTGTTAGCATTTCTTTTTTGAAAAGTGTTGACATTGATTTTTGTAAAAGCATGGATATCTTTCTTCCATAAAAACCGTTTGCCTTTTAAACAGTTTCAATTGTTAAGAGTTAAAATAATGTTTTGTTTCAGTCTTCAACTCTAGGAATAATTTTTTTTTTTTTTTTCAGTCTTCAACTCTCTAGGCTGCCACCTTCAACCTCTCTCCTTTCATCCACGCAAGTGCCTTTCCCTTCCACCACACACCAAATCTTATTCCTCAAACTTCTTTGAATTTTCTAATGGGACATGTCAGTCAAGTTCATCAATCTGTTCCGCTTTCCTTTTTTTTTTTTTTTACTTCTTGGAATGGATCTACAGCATCAGAGAAATGCTGACTGGAAATCGGCAATCTTTCCATTGAAAAAACTCAAAACGAAAAGGGGACACACCACGTGGCATTTCTGACACATCAATAACCAATTCACCAGCATCACTGGCATGTCGGTGCTTCATATATCTACTCAATACTACATCATAATTTTAATTTAACTATCATAATCTTGATTATAGATAAAGGGTGTAAACGAATGTTTTATAACTTTGTAGATGAATTGATAAAGTAGAATAGCAGACAAGGATACACATAGCTGTCCCAGACAAGTATCACTCTGTCCAGTGAGTTTGTTTCTTGACCTATTATATGACAGACGGTGGACAAATGGAAGGTAATTTAGCTAATATGCTAAATTTTCTAATTCATGTTCCTGCCTCCTTTATAGAGCAGCAAGTGACCATATTATAAACACTGGCAGTTGGTCGACTATTAATCAGACTGACTTAAGTGCTTGTTTGGTACGGATTTTTGGGAAAAGAATTGATTTTTGAATAATAATATGATGGGAAATGTGTGGTTGAAAAAGAAGAAAAAATTATTGATGTGATGGAAAATATTATTTTATTGAAGAATGTGTGGTTGAAAATGAGAATTAATTTACTGTAAAATTTGAGAATAAAATTTGGGGGAAAAATTGATTTTTAAATGGTGATATGATAGGAAATGTGATTGAAAAAGAAAAAAAAATTATTGATGTGATAGAAAATATTATTTTATTGAAGAATGTGTGGTTGAAAATGAGAATTAATTTACTGTAAAATTTGAGAATAAAAAATAAACAGGCCCTAAATATACATAAAACATATTTGCACAGCAATCACAAGTGTACAAACCAATTCCATATTATAGCAAGCCGATATTTATATGCAGTTGAGCAGTAGAGACTTACCCAATACAGCAGTAATTCTTTCGTGGATCTTTTTTCGACAAGTACGCCGAACTTTCAGAGTAGCTCGCATTGATTTTGGCATTAGTTTCAAATCTCTTGTCTACGAAGAACATAAAATAAACAAGACAAGATTAGCCTTACAACAGCAGCAGAATGCAACACACTAAGAATTACATATATTGAACAAGAAAAGTAGGATTTGATCAACAAAGTTAATGCCAAAGTAGAAGTACAAAAAATAAGAAGGCACAACGAAAACAGTATGAAAATAAAAATGTTGTGCAACAAGGGAGCAATATTAAAAAAGTATATGGTTAGTGTCCTTTTACTTAAGATTTCATAATCAATGGGCAAATATGGAATCCAAAATTAAGGTACATGCATTTGAGCATACCAGGTCAAGCACTTGTATCAAAAGATCACACAATCCTGAGCACAGCTTGTGTTTAAAATCCAATGTAAACATATAAGTCATAAATTCAACAATTAGTTCGCGCAATGCCAAATTTCCAATTTTGATGCATATATCTTTGACTATTTTTATATAAATATATAAAAAGCGCCGAAATGTGACAATTAAAATTATCCTAGCCATTTGAACCTTTTTAAAAATAAATAAACAGGAACTCCCATATATTGCACATAGAAGGAATCATGATACATGACTAAACAACCTAGCTAACCCAAAGCTTAATCAATTCTATGCGCATCCATCCTAGCCGGACTAAATTTAGACGTGAAGCACATTAAACATGCCAATATAAAGATTCACTACCCCCCTTAAAATGACAACATATAACAAAATCTACTAAAGATGCCCAAATAACATAAGTTCGAAACCGTAAATCAAAATCCAAAGATTTAGGGAAACATTAATACAAAAGTAAATTGAGAAATCTACCTCCCAGTACCAGAGGGCAGACTCAGATTCATCCTCCAAAATGTCAGTATCTGCATTGGACACTCCATAGCATAATCTCTGCCCAACTAGAAGCACACTGTTCTTCACACTAGCCTTACTAACACTATCACCATTTCCAGTTTTACCCGTAACTTTCTCATAAATGTCATCCACAAGCTTTGACAAAGGAAGTTCACTCTCTTCCATCAAACATGCAATCACGCCATTTAAAGAGGCGGAAGAAATCCCAATTTTCTCCACATTATCCAACAACGCCCGTCTTTGCTCCAACACTAAATCTTTGCAGAATTTGATTAAACTGTTGATTTCCTCGCGGAATCCGTTGATTTTTGCCTCTTTATCTTCTGGGCTTGCGGTACATACAGATTGATCCCCTCTCTTTCTCTTCGATGCCTTCTTTTTCTGATCTGCGCCGTTCGATTTCGGGCTGTTTTCATCAGCTCCGCCGATTATCATCGGTTCAACTTCCGCCATTACTGCATACAATTACTCTATATCTTTTGACAAAAATAACGGAGACCCAGATGAGGAAGTGAAAAACCCTGGTCGAAATTATTTTCGAGATTGCTCTCAAACCGAGAAACGCCAGAAACAGCGGCAAATGGAGGACTTTTTTGGGAGAATTTCGTACGAAATTCCACACTCCATTCACTGATTTTCCAAGAAAACCCTAAAGAGAAAAGGAAGATGAGAAAGATGGGAAAAGGTTCAGATGATGATAAATGAGAGATGAATAAACCCTTCTTGGAAGTCTAGACGGTGCCTGATTTTTCAGTTTTGAATTTTTTGGAGTGAATGTTTTCAGTGATTTTTTTGTAAAATTACAAAGATTATGGCGTATATTTATTTATTTCCCGCCAGTGGGAAAAATACTTGGCTCCAAATTATGCGAATTTTCAGTGTTGGCGCCTAATTTCGATACATTTGTCCGCCGTTTCGGTGCTCCACCGTAAATCCCCCAATGCGCTGTCAACGCTACCTCGAAAGGAAAGAGGTAATAGTTATTAATAATTTTGGCTTTGCACGTTAATTTAGGAAA